CCTGGGAACGCTGTGTTGAATTTGCTTGCCATTTCTGGATTTTCCTCTTATGGGCCCGTAAGCTAACAGATCACCTCATCAAGAAGCCTGTCTCTGCTCTAAATCCAGGTGGCTTCATTACTCTATCAAAATATTAATAGCGGTGTTATAAGATCAACATTTGTTTTGCCAAGAGCAATGAATAATGCAAACAGTACCGCCTAAAATCATTATTATTTTATTTAGATCAGAGGCTGAGAGCCACCCTCTGATCCTGTGCCAAAACTGGAAGAAAATGAAGAGCGTTTAGAGCTGGTGAAAGGTAAAGGATACAAAGGCACAGAGAACCAACTGCTTCATTTATCAACACAGTGCAGAAAGTCAGCAGCCGCACCACATTCCCCAACCTACTACCAAATACACCCTATTTTCATTTCCTTTCACCTTTGGAGCCCGTGTACTCCAGCAGCTGAGGAACGCTCATTTCTAGAGGAAAGAAGTTTTTTGGTTTCCTTCTTTCTGAAAGCACTGACCCAAAAACTCTATCATTAGTAACAATAATTAAAAGGTGCCATAAGAGGGAGTGTATGGATGATTGCCACTAAAAGGAACGGTCTCATTAATTTATTACAGATTTTTAACTTGGCTTCATTAGGACATGTCTGTTGAAGGCCGTTTAGGACTCTGGGGATGTTCCTGTACTTCAGTGACTCCCTCAGTGTTGTCACAAAGAAGGAAGGCAAGTAAGATCTGTTGGCTAGTATGCAGTTCTGTGTAGGTAGCCAGGAAATTTATCATTTTGTCAGTCTTGCATCCAAGCAGAAGCACCCTCTTGAAATTGAGGACCTGACTGATTGAGCAGCCATTCAAACAAGCACTGTGAACACTGGTCCCTCTAGCACAAGAGGATTTTGGAGCATCTTTTGTTGCCTCTCTAAACTGCCAGTCTTCATATGGCCACAGAAACATACCAGCGTGGCTCCCAAAGGCCCAACACGTCGGGCTACCCCAACAGCGACCATCTTTCCGTGGCATCTGGGCACCCCATTCCACTCAGCCTCTTCGGAGAAACTCGTTTTCCTAAATCTTCCTGATAAAAACACCCCAAGTTCGCTCTTAAAGGCAGCTTTTAATTGGGACGTGGGAAAGGCATAGCAGCCCTACGAATCATAAATAATGATGAGCACTTGGGAGAAGTTTCCCTCATTAGACAATACCCATAAAGCAGAGTTAACTAATAATTAACAAATCTAGCAGATAGTAAGTATGCAGCACTCTCTAATGGAGCAGAAGACAGGGAAATATTAAAGAAGTGCTAACAGCTGGCTTGTTAATACTCCGAGAGCCAATTTCCTACGTAAGACTCAAATGGGAAAGCAGAATTGTAATTAAAGTCTATTTTAAGATAAACAGGAAAAAATACCCCACCTCATGAATCATACCTTTTATTATACACGTATTTGGCACTTACTGGCCCACCAAATCTCCCTGGTCAAGGAAGAAAGTGCCCTGGGCCCGCTTCTGAGTTCCTGCAAGGGGCTTTCAGCAGGACGGAGTACTAAATTAGGAGGAAGGGGCCCTCAGAAAGCACTTGAGCACAGCAAGGCTTTTCGGCAGATGTGGGCTGTGGACTCACCAGGAAAACAGAGCAGGAAACGCTAGCATTCCCTCCCTTCACTTCCACAAAGACTAAGAGCTGGACCAAGACTCCATGCCTGATCTTTACAGCCACGGAGCAGCATAGCCATGTGCCTGGCAGTGAGAAGCAAGGCCACATCCTGCACAGGCATCTCAGGTGACTTCCAGCCTGCTGCAGTCGCTTGGAAATCAGCTTTAGGAAACGATGTTCTATTACTTTGATGGTAAGAAAATACTTCCATATCAGCACGGTTTAAAAATAACTTATTCTTGCTTGTAAGCATTTTTCAGGAATTCTTTAAGGTGTGTGCCTCAAAGGAAAATTTCTACAATTAATTTCACAAAAATATATAAAAGAATTGCTTCTCTTTTCATTTCTGCGAGCAGTCAGATTCATTTCCATGTATACTTTTCCTCTAATTGCAGTCAGAAAGAAAAGGCTCGGGTCTTTCATCAGATACCATCCAGAGTGAGATATCAGGGTTAAATCCACCCTGAATGGTAAAAGCAAATTAATCTAGGCTGATAAAGCATGAGCCTTTAGTTGCCAGGAATCCGCTAAAGCCCCAATCTGCAGAGATTTATTCCTGCACTTCATTTCAAGAACACAGCCAGCCTGCCTCCCTACAACCCAGCACAACTCCACTTTATACATTCATATATTTGTTTTCCCAACTGAAATGCAAAGAAAGGATTTTCTACCCATCATCAGCTTTGTAGATAGCCTGTACCTAAGAAACTCATACAGAAAGGAGTCTTTAATTAGTTTAAAACAGCGCTGAATGCATGCCTTCATAGTGCTCTGAAGTACAACCAAAAGTGCCACCAGTCTTTAAGGTGTTCAAATCACAAATGTTTTAAGCAGCAGAGACAAACTGCATGTTCTAGAGCGCTGAATGTCTAAATATTGTCCTTCCCTCCCCCCAAAAAAAACCAACCAACCAACCAACCACACTTCCATTGCAATTTTGAAGAATGGGCTTCTTTTCATATCCAAAGATTTATTTTTTGTTTTATCACCAACCTGACACTGTCAAGCAAGTCAGAAAGGTGAGACTGGACTGGAAAGTCCAGTCTCTGGAAAAACTGAAGGCACTGGAAAAGCCTTCCGTTTAAAGCTCTGGGATGCAAAATCTACCGATTCTCTGACCTGACATCAGCTAGCAAACACACACAGCCCCAGACATCTGACTTGAAGACCAGGCTAAATGTATTTGTGAAAGAAAGCAGGGTCCTGATATTAATAGTTTCCTATGGGGAAAAGAAAGGAATGTCTCCTGAATGGCTCCTCTGTCCCTTGCTGAAGAGAAGACTTGAAGCAAAAGAAAAATGCAAGAGAGATGCCCCGTACACAGACATCCTACAGTACATACAGCAGATTCAAGAGCATTCCTACTCTTTTGGGAATAAAGCAGAGTATTTTTCGCCTGATCAAGGGCAAGTTCTCAGAATCTGCAGGGTTCCTCACCTCATCTGCACCGTGAAAGACTAATCCCTAATAGACGGTTAGCATTTGTCAAGGACTCAGCAAAGCAGTGACAGGGGCCACCAGGCTCTGGCCCTGCCTGGCTGCTGGTGAACGGCTCCAGCACTTGGCCACCTGTAGCACCAGAGCCAGGGAGAGGGAAAGAGATGCAGGGTTTACGACTAGGATCTAAAACAAATTTTATTGGAAACTTTTATGTCTGTAGGTTTGAGTAGTTTTTATAGAGAGGAGTTCTGAAAACTGCCATAAAATTTTGCCTTGGGGGTTATGATTACATTTGTATCTTTCCCAAACTTGTATAAATAAAGACGACAGTTTTTACTGTAGAAGCTTAAAAGGTTAGAGACGTATTTGGGTCTGTGATGAACCTTTTATAGATGTGATGTTATAAGAATTTATTCTTAAATATCAATAAAAAAATACAACTTTACATTTCTTGATAAAGCAGTGGCGATTAGAAAAAGAGCTATGTGGCAGAGGTGGCTGCATCGCTTCTGACTTCCTTTCTGTTAAAATAATGCTTTGTTAATTTTTTGTTGACTGGAAGCAATTAACTAATTTGCATTCTGTCAGAGGAGGAATGTTTTTTCTAAGGATGCTTCCTGGTCTCCTGGTGTTTCATGTGAGATTCCCCTCACACCTGATTTAGGTCATGAGTTGGTATAAAACCTCTTTATGAGGGACTGGCACCTCATATACTTAAACCTTTGTAAATATGCTGTATGATTTTTGTACAAGTAAACGAGAAATAATACCCATGTTTTACATAGCATATGCAAAGCTAAAAACATTGAAGGACTCACCGCTGCTGGACCTGCTATGGTTTTCCCTTCCATGCTTCTGCTGGTTGATGCTGTATATTTTCCCGTGGGGTTTGCTCTCCCTTTCTCCCCTCTTTCCCACACATCCGTACATTCATGCCCATAACCAATTACTTTCCAAAGTTTGGCAGTGACAGGAACGCAAGAGCAAACACTCCCAGTTCCAGGAGCACTTTGTACTGGTTAAAACAACCATCCCAATGGGTCCCAGGGGAGTGAGGTATACCACAGCAGTGGGGCTCTTTATTGGGATTAATACACTTATTTTGCAAACACGGAACAGATTGTTTGTAAAGTGAACACTTGAACACTGGAAACAAGGACTATTGAACCTGCTCCCTCTTCTCAAGCACAACCACAGTAGGATTTTAAATTTCAATGAAATGAGCGATAATCTTATTTGTTGCAGATAGGATGACTAATTAGTGAGGAAAACTCCTTGAAAGCATTCAGTGCAAGCAATTCTCTCTGAACGCAGTGCACGGCACAGCGGGGCACTGAGCACTGCACTGGCATGGATACACACTACTCTGCACCATGTGCATGTGTCCCTGAGGAGGCATGCTGATTAAACTGGGCCTTCATGAAGTTAAGCAACTCAACCATGCACCTGAATGAAACTTTTTGCCCACAAATACCTTAAAATCAAACAAATTAGACACCTTCATTCCAAAACATACATGTACATTTTAAGGCAAGTATTCACAATGAATTACCATGCTGCATAAACAGTGATAGACATAAAGTAAACATGAAATCAAGGTATCCAAACAGAAATAGAACATTAAAACCATATAAACAGGCATAGAAAAAGAAAAAAAATAGCCAAGAAACAGCCCTCTTTTTATTTTATTCTTTATTTCAAGAAACTTCCCTTTCTCTTACCTTGATTTCCTCTTGATCAGAAGAATTGTGTGTTGCAGTAACAGTGAAACGTGGACTTAACAGAATGCCATTGGAAATCATAATATTTATGTCCAGTTGTTGTACTTGATTCAGAGTTAAAGTAATTTTTACTAATTGCCTTTTCATCTCATGCAATGGTTCCTGCTAAGTAAGATTTAAATATCTCTTACCTTATAGTCCTCATCTCATGTGCTGCCTCATGACCGTACCCTTGGGCAGTCGATCCATGGCTATGCTGGGTCACTGGAGATACAGCTGTACTGCAGCATCCAATGCAGACGAGACAGCTGGTGCATGAGGCACTTTAAGAGCCCTGAAAAAGAAATGTGCAGGTTTGAACCATGCCATGGTAAAATATTTTAACATTTTCCGATAAAGAATTTTCCATTCTATGAGAAATACAACTGTAAAAATACAAACTTCTGTATTGATTAAATGAAAATAAATTTTGAGGCATTGGAGGAAGTATGAAAACTTTCTTTTAATGATTCCAGCAGTAGCTTCTCTTTTGCCACCACCTTTATGCTGTGCGTGGTCAGAATGGAAGGCCAGAAAAGCGAGCCCATCCACTGCTGTGTCTTTGCAGAGAGCCTGCTCTTATAGGCACTCTGGTAATACAACTAATAAATAAGAGGACATGTTATGACTGGTTCCTGGCATTCAAACAATTAAGATTCATTCTACCAAGCGCTTCTACATATGCCCAAGCCACACTGGTATCTAAGTTCAACATTTCCTGAAGCACTTCATCAAATGATAAAGATTACTGTTAGCTGCATCCATCAGCAGGCTTAACAGAGACCAAAAGGGGACAGGTACCCTATAAGTATTACACAGCTACCCAGAAACTCAGCTGCTTTACAACAATTCAAAGTTAAGACAACTCTTAATAGAAAATTATTTTTTTCCTCTTTCCCTGATGAATAATCAAGGTCTTAACAAAGTTGGGGTGACCAGAGTTAGCTAAAATACACTTCTCTGGGAAAAAGGAGGCTGTAGACACCCATTCCAGCTTTCTTTTTAGAGCAGCTGCTTTCCTCTCTGCATACACCAACATTCACTTTCATCTTGCTTCTAAACCTGATGTTTATCCTATCAGGAAAAAGCAACAGTAGCATGGGAATTTAGGCTGACAATAGACGCACACATTTAAAATGATGAAATGCAAACATTAGCGTCTAAAAGCTCACCAAAATTAAAGACAGCAAACTATTTGCATAAACTATTACCTGTGGAATTAGAGAGACATATTTTTGTTAATAACCTCATCTGTTTTCTGTATTTCAAAGTGAAGAAAAAAAGTTTAAATCATCACGATTTTACTCATTATCATCTCTTTAGGTCTTGCTACAGCTATGAATTGCTAATTTTTTGAGCATAAGGCTTCAAGATATCACTGGTGGACACCAGGTTTCAATCCAAGCAAAGCAAAACAAAACAAAAACATTAAAAAGAAGCTCAGTTCTAGTAATTAAATATATATATATATATTTATTTTTTAAAAGTTGGTATAACTTTGATTACATGAAATCCAATTTTAATGAAATGTTTCTGGGGATATTCCCACCAGGCAATGATTCTGTGGGGATTGCTTTTGCAGTCCACTAATTTCTAATCATCTCAAAGTAGAAGCAGGAACGCAGAGAAGATTGGGAGAGAGTGACAAACTAAAAACCTCAGCCTCTGGATCTGAAAACACTCGTTTCAAGAGAAAGGAAGAAATACAGCATCATGTTGTCGTGAAAAACAAACTGGGAGCAGTTTTATTTTCCTTCCACAACAAAGAGAAATAAAATCTTGAAAACTGGTAGAAAACTTACTGGTGCATTTTGCCAAGCAAACTTTTGTGTTAGGAGTCATTTCAACTTCCCCCACCTGAGGGTTGACACCTGTATGGCTGGTGGAGATGCTCCCCTGCCCTTGCCTTCCACCCCACCAAAACCAAGGACTCAAAACTTCACCGAAGGCTAATTTCTAATTTCTTTAGCTACTCCACTAAACTCTTGGAGGTACCCTGAACAGCATATTTTACATATATTGACAGGGCTCAGAGGACTGTGGCAGCTAAATACTGCCCAAGGGTAAGAAGACATTGAGAGATGGCAGAATATCGCTGGGAGCTGGAGGCTGAAGGCAACAAGCACAATCAAAGCAGCTACTGTTACCTCAGGCCATCTTAGTGCTGCTGTCTCCAGGGAGAGCCTGTGCTTGTTCATTGCCCTTAAAGTGTTACTCCGGATGCTGAAGACTCTGTGCACAAAGACTTGGATATAAACACCACCTGTCTGCAAGGAAACTTTCAACGTGGAAGCCTTCAGAGACAGCATGGCAGTGGGCTCCAGTTGCTGCGCTGAGCTGGGGTCCCTCAGGCCAAACCTGTGGCGGTGAAGCACACGGGGGACCTGCAGGTACTCACGGGTTGAGATGCGACACTGAGCACAGAAGGATGCACAGGGGTGTGCAGGGCTCGCATTTAGGTTACAGGATCTTTGTGGTGCCCCACGAAGGTATGGGGTCGTCCCATGGCTGAAGAGCAGACCAAGGAGGCTGGCCGGCTCCTCAGGGGAGAGCTAGAGGAGGGACCCCATCAAGTCCTGGCAGGCAGATCTGAGCGCTGGCCAGCAAAGTTTAGTCCTGATGGTATCTTCTTGCAGTTTATTACACAAATTAATAACCTTCAGAACTCAGCCCTACGTGAATCCCAGCAAGCACTTGCCACTGTGCCGCCTGCAAACACCAGCCCCAGGCTCTTACTGGGGGGAAAGTGATTTGCGTTTTGTTACAGATGCACCACAGCACTGCACGATGCAGCTAGCAAAAGGGGTGTTTTAGTTAACCTTTAGGTTTTCCTCATTAAACTGAGTAGCTGTCACTTTTTTTTTTTTTTTTAATTCCTGCCTTTGAATTGATTGTGTGATGACAAAGAGCTACAAGCAGATTTCTATGTGGTGCTGAAACCACAGTCCAGGAAGAGCCAATTTTTACAGACTGCGTTTTATTAGGTCACTCCTGATCAGCATTGTCATTTAAAACTATCCCAAATAATGAGGATAATGACTGCAAGTCACACTCCAGCTTTATCCTAGTGACTTTAGCAAGTTATAGCTCTGCCAGGAGCCCCCTGAGCTGCCCCAGAGATCGCTGCCCCACAGCCCCATCTCGCAGCAGCATGAGCAGGAACTGGGCAGCAACAGCGGCTTCGCTACCGTGTGCAGGCGGGGGAACACAAGGCAAAGTGAGAGTCACTGTGCTGCTGGGGATGTGCCCAGAAACAAGACAATTAGGAAATGCCAAACAAAACAAGTAGCAGCCGAAACAGAAAGCCTTCACAATGCCTTCACCCGATTTCAACTTGTTTCTTTTTTTTTTTTAAAAAAAAAAAAAAAAAAGAGCTGTTGGATCCAGGCTTGCTTGCAATGTTCTTGTGCTGTGTGCACGGCATCCCAAGCCCAGACCTCAAAGAAGCCAGCCAACAGAACAAGATGAGATGTGCACATTTCCAGATCTACCCTTGGAGAGCACGGACTCCAAATTGAAACACCAAGGCTGCAAAGTCAGTGCCATCCAAGCCCAGTGGCCATTTCCAGAGGACCCAAGTGGAGTTGTGTGATCCCAAGATACCACCGCAGGCGTTGGGCTAACATCAACCATTTCAGCTGGAGCGCTGGTGCTCTGAGCAGGAAGGAAGCAGGGGAACATCCCAAGGAATTGGGAGATGCAAGGAGCCCCCAGGCCTCCATCCCTGCTCAGAGGCACATGCCAGGGGTGCAATATCACTCAAGGGGCATAACCATGTGGCAAGGCTTACTCTCTACACAGCTGCCATGGACAAACACAGCGACGATTCTCCCCGTGCTGGTGCAGCAAGGCCAGAGCCTCTGGCCAGCCTCCGACAGGCCTGGCTGTCGGGCTCCTGTGGTCTCCCGTTTCCCCACACAGGGTGTGCAGACGAGATGATGAAAGCTTCAGGGAGGATATTTTGCCAGCATCTATCTTTTTATTGTTGTTACAGGTTGGCATCTCCAAAGAGCAAGGAACGAGTGCCAAGTTTATTACTACCCAAGTTTTATGATTTACAACCTGCACAACTAAAGCCTGAAAACACAGCAATTTTGCAGGGTAATTCTGGGAAGTAACTATCCTACAGCACCAATTATTAAAACCACTTGCACACATTAAAGCTATAAAGATTAAAAATATAGCACACTTGTCATTAAATATGTATGCAGTCATGTAATATGTATTATATACCAGTGCAATGGCCAGCCGCATGTGCTCCAGCACAGCCCCATGGAAGGACTGCAAACCCCAAGTCCCAAACCAGCACGCATTTTGTCAAAGCCGAGGAACAAGTTTGTCATGCAAAATAAACACAGATGTTCCAAGCACTGACTGTAGCTTTCAGGCAATGGCTAGGAAAAGAAAGTGCTGTAGGAAAATATGCCGCTCAGTACAAGTCTCCCGTCTCTGCACATACTGTACTTCAGCATCAGCTGAGGCTGGATGAGTCATTTAAAGGACATATCCTGTTGTTGTTTTTAATTTCGTTTGCTGCTCATTGTATTTTTTCCTCAATGCCCTGTCTTGAAATGTATTCAAATGGCTCCCCATCCTGATGTGCCTGGCACGCTTTAGTGACACAGGCACTCTTTTCTGTGTGGCTTACTAAATCTGCTTCATGTTTTAGAAAGGCTAGAGTTTATTAGCACCTCAGGCCTTGCTTTGCTTTTTTATTGTAATTGTTTTGCTCTTCTCCCTCATTCAGTTCCCCTGAGAAATGAATCATTTTCTATTGTGCTACACACAGGAACATCTTTCAATTTCTCTAAGTACCGCATACAATTCCCATGGTCTAGGTACATATACGACTGTATAAACCACGCACCCATACGCATGCACGCCTGCACCTACCATTGCTCAGCTTTCAGCCCAGTTTTCATCTTTTTCCAGACAAAAGCACGGTCAGAGTTTCCAGGTAGAGCTAATATTTATGTTGGCTCAGATAAAAAGTTCAACTGAAGCCATGGAAAAACAAAAAAGTTAGATTCTGCCTTAAAAGTATGTTCAAAGGAGTCTCCATAGTTGTCATGCACAACCAAATGGGTGCGGGCTCACACTTTGACCAGTTCGTGCTTTAGCCATAAGGGAAAATGGTCTGGCTACAAGAGACTCCATGGGGAGATCCAGTCTGCTCTGCCCAGCCACAGGCTCTTCTTTTTTCTTCACCTTAGAATAGTAACAACACCACGATGATGTTTCTCTGACATACCATGAAAATGATACACGGGGAATGGGAGGCTTTGGGACAGTCCG